GGAAGGGAGCAAAGGCAGAAATAGTTAAAAACAAACAAACTCTTCCCATGTAAAATTATCTAGAAGAAATATATTTCCAAACAAAAAACTGAAATAATACTCTAGAAATGAATCTTTGGCTTCTAGGGAAAGCAAACCCCATCTTTGGAGCTCTTAGTCACAAAACGCTGAAACATCCAGATTGATTTAAATTGTACCCTTTACACAAGAGTTGGTATGCATTAGCTTGCATTCTGAAAATACTTCCATTGTGAACAAGATATACATCTTTAAATCCATTTATAGTGTAGAATAGACAATTGCCTTATATTTTCACTCACTGATTCTTGATTTGAATAGCTGTAAGAACCGCCTTGTGTGATAATAGATGAGTAAAATATATGAGTGCTAAAATATACAAGCACTTTGACGTATGACTTAGAAATTACTACCAAAATTGGACAGCATAATTTAATTCCTATGAGTTGAAAAACATGGCATATTAAATCTTGTTACTTGACAAGAGAGATCCTATATCTGTCTTTTAAAACTCTATCAACCTCTGGTTTCATGATGTTTTGTCTTACATAATTACAGTTAGTTTTACATTTAGCTCTTAATGAAGTTTAGTTGTAAAGCTAACATTAAAAAACTGTAGGCATAGAATTATTGTTGGTAGAAAACAAAGTTAGTTTTCTAAACATTTATAAGTATATGTATATACAAATATATTCCATTTTCTGAAAAGTCAAAAGTATTGACAGTAGTCTTTTCAGTATCTGATGTGATAAAGAGCTTACAGTTATTTTATCCAAGGTGAAGCAAGACCTTATCTAACAGTGGAACTTAATATAAAACAAAAAGACACTTGAAAATGGTGAAGGCATATTCACTCCATAAAAGTACACAAGACACAACAAGTCTACTATGGTACAGACAAATCCTAAAATTATAGACTGCCATGGAAAAAGGTAGAAAAACTAACAGTCCGTGAGTAAGTCAGAATGTGACCACAGCAAAAGTGTGAACAAAGCAGATTTTGCCATTTGTTTGGGCTGGCCAAATACTGTGATTCATAGGGAATTTACTGTTCTGGTCAAATTGTCTAAAAGGTTAAATTGGGAAAATACGATACATTCCTTTCATTCTGTTACCTACCGCATTTTATTCTGGACCATTTTTATTTGTGTGATTGTTTTCCAGAGAAGTCATTTTACCCTGACGTTTGCAGTTGATTCTGCAGACTTGGCTTGATCAGCCTGTCAGAGAATCCTAGCCTCCTCTCTACTGGCCTCCATCTAAACAAGCCCCTCGGTGGGACCATTAGAAAGCAAGGTCGAAAGAAACTATATACAATAAGATGGACGTTTTCCACATCTGGCATTCCATGGGACTGTTGAGCAACCACTCTTTAGTGCTGCAGGGCCCACGACATTTAGTGCCATCCCCATTCCGGTGATGGTACTCAACCTCTCCCACGCATGGTCCCCAATATTGTGCAAGGGTGTAGGCTCGGCCCTGACTCACAGGGAAGAGGCGATTTGTATCCTGTGAGTCACTGGCACTACTTCCTGCTGGCACATTTGAGATTTCACTGAAACACAGCCTCTGCAAAATGAAAGCACATAAATGAACAGGTAAGCTTCACATTCCTAAAACCCATTAGAAAATTTGACAGAAATAATGGCCTCGGAATGCATTTTGATTTTTGTAGCTGTATTATAATAGGAGTTCCAGCAGCCAAATTCAAGTTAACAGATCATCTATCCCATGTCACCTTGCACAGAATTCCTCTGTATCTTAGTTCTAATGCAGAGCTTGCTAACAGATCTAATTTTTTGACACAGACACAATCCAAATCTTTAGTGTCATAATGAATTTCTTTTTAAGCAGGGACTCATTGACAAGGATCGAAAAGCCCAATATAATTTTGCAACCGAATTACAAAGATTGTTATATTCAAATAGCAATAAGATTATGAAAAACTGACATTATGAAAACGAAAGGATATGATTTTAGCATTTATTCCTTCCCTGTATTATTTAAAAATAATGAGTAGTGGTTCTCATGAGTGACAGGATGATGGATATAATAATCCTCTGTGCTCAGACTTTTCAGTCTTCTGATTAATTAGTTTGCAATGGGCAGAGTCATGTTGCAGAGACACTTGAGAACCATTGTTTTAAAGCAATAGAGTTGTGCAGATGGACACAGGATTTGGAACCAATTTTACTGTTTTGTTGGCTACATGCATCCAGGGTGGAACTGAAGTTATACACTTTAATCTGAAAGGAGCATTTAAAAGTAATTACAGTTCCATCTGTAAAATATCCTGCTGTAAGATTAATGCAGCAAGTCTCACAGAAACTATCCGGAGTGATGGACTGTGTCCAAGGGAGGGTCACAGGTAAGGAAAGCCCGGTTTTCATGGAGGCACACCCTGGGCTGAACATTCTTTAATCAACAAAGACAAATATTTCACCTGTGGCCTGAACAACTGGAACAAAGTTTCCAACAGTGGAAAAACTAACAACTACTAAAAACTTAAAAAAAAAAATTACCAAAAGCAATACTCCAAAACCATTAGTTGAATTATAATAGTTGCACGTTATGGTTGCAAACAGTCCCATACAAGAATGGGTAGGCTTTGGTTTCTGCAAAAAATAGAGAAATTAGATTCAAATATGCTTTTTTATTTTTCTGGCTAGTGCTTTCCTAGAGGGAGAATTGTTGATGTATTTTCCAAAGCTTTCTTCGGTTGAAGAAACACGGATGAATAGGAGTGTCAAGGATGTAAACACAAGAAACTAGAACTTCAATTTATGTTGAGGAGACCATATTAGGTAAAGAGATTAATTCCCAGTAGGGAAAGTGTCTGGCAAAATTATTATTAAGAAGTAGAACAAAATTGACTTGGATACGAATCTAGCTCATCCTCCATGAAAAGCTACGTGGAAGATGGTTTTCATCTCCATTCAACTGGCAATGAAGTCCAGGCATTAGCCATTTTTTGTCTTTTAAGAAAAGTAGTTAATTTTTAAGAGCAAGTGAAGCAGAATTTATATTGTAGGAAAAACATGGAGTGGGGAAGAGATCGTTCTCAACCTTTAAAGAAAAAAGTATTTTCAAATAATTGAAGGAGTGTGAGACTTGATGTCAGAAGATAAATTCCTCTTTTGTGGTTGTCAGATAAGTTATCTTGGACAAGACATTTAATTAAAATGCACTTAGGTTATTTGAGGCTAAAACGACTTCACAAGATTGAAAACTACTTCATAGGACTGTTTATATACTCATTGTCAAGTTTGAAACATGAGTATATAAACGATGATGCTGATTCTGGTGTGCAGTTTAGTTTTTAGAACTCAAAGAATATGAAATTTTCTTAAGAGAGACAAACCTCGTCTGATTGAAAAATAAAATAAAATAAAATAAAATTCCTGTGTTACATGAATTGATTGCGTCCTGTAAAGTACCAAATTATAGAGATTTATAATCTTGCTGTAAACCAGTAGAGGGCACTACCCACACATAATGCTAAGACTAGAAGCTGGAAGTTGAGAGTCAAGGAACATTTATGGGAGTCTCTGGTCAGATATTTCAGGGAAAAAAAGCCACAGCGTTCCATTTTATTCTTCCCCAAACTCTGTAAGATAGGAAAAATTAAGACCCAGAGAAATGAAGCAATTTGCTCTGGTTAGTTCTGTGTGATGTCCATTATACTACAGTATTATTGCCCATTTTCTTTTCTTTTCTTTTCTTTTTTTGTCGGAAAGTGAGAATGAGATTTATTGAGAGGACAGAAAAGGTTCCACAGTGGGAGGGGATTCGAAGGGGTTACCCTGCCCACTTTCAAATTGTATAATGTGGCTTATTTACCAACATGTGTCTTTGGGAAAAGTTATTTATACTCTTTATATCTCAGTTTTTTCAAATGTTTACTGTAGATTATAATGATATCTTTTTCAAAGGGTCACTGAGTGGATTAAATGAGATAATATAGATAAGGGGAATTAACCTGGAACATGGTACGTGTTCAAGAAATATTAATTGCTACCAACTACTACCATTACTGCCATTAATATTTCTTATATAATAGTTTTTCATATAAACTGGAGAGATTGGTTGGAATTCAATGCCTGAAGTATCAATGAAAGAGGCTAAATGCCTCTTAAGCAAATATGTGTGCAGTTAAAGGTTCTTCTTATCATACTTTCTTTACAATTCAGGAACTACTTGAGTCATTCTGATGCCTGTTTTCTGACACTTATCTTTACACTGGAGACACACAGTGAAACAGCTGGTTCAAACTCTTCCTGTATTGACGGAAACTGGATTCTAGGGCTTGGTGTGATTCATCTGGTGTGCCTGTTCCATCTCATATTAGACAAGATACATTCCAATTTTACTTACCTAGATTACATTTTCTTAATTAAAATCTATGTTCACATGAAATGCAATGAAAAGAGTAACTTAGGCATGTCAATCAACCATGAATGCTTCTTTTTTTTAATTTTTAATTTTAAAGATGTGGGGTACAATTCAGGGTTAGGTATACAGATGTTCATTATGCAGATAACCATGGATGTTTCTGAGGTTGAGTTTCTCAATTAGTTGCTGCCACAAGTGATCTGATTTTTTTTTTTTGAAGTCTTCTTTTGTCTACCTTGGAGCATTGTTTTAAGCACATCATGGAGTCAAACGGTGGAAATTCTCCAACTGACAAGCTTCTTAGGAAATTAAACTTCAAAATCAAATCTTTGAAAATGTCATTGTGAAACGTTTAGACCAGGTCAAATCTGTTACTATGAAAATCCTGCCAAGACTTTTACCCTTCAACAGAAGAGCTAGGAGTGCTTTCATTTTTAGTCATATACTGTGTCCATGAATTTCTTTTATGGTTTTCATGGATCAAATCCTTGAAACAATTACAAAACTCTAAATACTGGTTATTTGGAAATCTGATCAAAGATTCTTTCACTGGTGCATTAATTATATATTTGATTTTCCTTCATAAATAGGTTTCCATCTTCTACAAGCAGTTCTCAGTACAACTGTAATTCCGTCATGTATCCCAGGAGAATCTGACAGTAACTGCACAGCTTTAGGTAAGCACAACTTTGCCTGTGTGGCATCAAGGGATTATGCAAACAGAAATGGAGACTGTAAATATGTGAGAATGAAAAAAAGGAAAGAATAGTTGCTGTACTAGTGTTTTAACCACCTTATAAAGTAGAGTTCTGAAAAAAGTATATAAAGGAATAACTGACGGGAGAGGGACCAGACATTTAATTATATATGAAAATTTGATCTTCAAGAGAAGGGAAAAAAGAAAATCAGATTCCCTTTGGCCATTCTCTGGAGTTTTACTCCAAAACTATCGTCAGAGGCCACATTGATAGACTGGATACCAGGCAAAATAGGAAAATTTCATACACAGTAGATTCTCTCTCTCTCTCTCTCTCTCTCTCTCTCTCTCTCTTTCTCTCTCTCTCTTTTTCTCTCTCTCTCTCTGTCTGTAAGAAGAACAAACCATGTCCTTTCTTCTCAGTCACAATATACTTAGTAAATCTTGAATACCATGATAAGGCATAGAGATATAAAGATAAGTAGAGCAGTTTTCTTCCCTCGAGAACTGTAGACTCTGACTGTGGTTCAAGGTGGATTTGCTTTATCTGCAGTCTGAGCAATTGAGTTGAGGGTTATCTTGAGGAAATAGAATATTTTCCACAACAAACTCACCTTCTCTTCTGTCCATCACCATCTAGCTTTCTTGACATTTGGTCAGTTCTCCCTCCCCCACCCTTTTTTCCTTCGTTGGTTATTTAGGCAAGAACATTTCAATTGAGGGGCTATTTTAAAAATAATTTTATAATCATTCTTCACATTTTAGTAACTAAAGCATTCTAAAGCGGTTTTCCATGTAGGCCGCAACACTATTTCAAGCGAGGCTCCAGTTTCAATATTGTGTTTACCTAACAGAGGCCTTTCTTACCTAGGATCTGTCTAGTTAGCCTTCGGATCTCATTGTTAGAGATATTGGGAGATCATGATTGATTTGTTTCATGGTAGCTGCATCAATTTAAGAACACACCAAAAGCTTTACTTGCTTACAAAGGCAATCTAGAATTAAGCTCTTTTGAATTAATAAATGCTTTCAGCTTACAATTGCATTTGGGAGTAATGAATTTAAGAATTGTTTTGAGACTGGTAAACAAGTAGCCAAATTTTGTTTGAAGGATACCTTTTCCGGAAGAGAATGATGTGTGTGTGTGTGTGTGTGTGTGTGTGTGTGTGTGTGTGTGTGTGTGTGTGTGAAACTCGCCTTTTCTATTCTTAAAGTTTATTTTTGAAAATTGAATCATCGTGTTATTTTGTTTTGTTTAGCCTGTTGGACATTTTTCTCTTGGTTCAGGTGTTAGTTTATTGGTCGAAGGAGTGTGGTAACTGGAGTGACTTCCTTCTGAAAATTCTCCTTGACTAATTGGCAGCTGATCTGTTTTGTTGAAGTAGCCTAGTGGTTACTGTTAGGAAAGGGTGATTAATGGTTCCACGAAGGCCACAGAATATATTCAACTTTCCATTTCCTTCACAGTTCAGACAGAAGACAATCCACGTGTGGCACAAGTGTCAATAACAAAGTGTGGTTCTGACATGAATGGCTACTGTTTGCACGGACAGTGCATTTACCTGGTGGACATGAGTGAAAATTACTGCCGGTAATATGCCAAAAATAACAAATGCAGATACTAAAAATTTTTTATAGATTAGGAGTCCAAGTGCAGGTTTGTTACATGAATAAGTTTCCCAGAGGTGAAGCCTGGGCTTTTAGTGTAACCAACACCTGAAGACTGTACATTGTACATATTGGGTGATTTCTCATCCCTCACTCCCCTCCCTCCCTCCCAGCTCTCCAATTTCCAATGTTTATTATTCCATTCTCTATGTGTGTACACATTATTTAGCTCCCACTTGTAAGTGAGAAGATGTGGGAAACAAAGACAGTTTTAAAACCTGTATTTCTCGTTCCCTGATTTATATTTTAAAGTTACCTTGTATTTCCATGGGCTGTTTGAATGCAGCATATATTTTATTACAAATATTATTACTCGAGTTTTTGTGGGAGGACAAAAACTGGTTTTCAAATTGTATAGATATATCAAGGGTACAGAGTAAAGAGGGCTCTCAATGCCTCTCTCTCACACTTACCATAGTGGCATCTCCAGTTTTGGTCTTTTTCTTGAACTTCCATGTCAGTCATTGTTTTAAGAATTGATTCCACTGACTTAGAAAAAAGGCATCCCAAATCCACAACACTTACAAAACATCACTTTAGATTATCAGTCATCCAAAATAACAGTTGAACAGAACTGTTATTTTAATACCACAATTTAGCCGAAGAGCTATGTGGAGCCCTTTTATCAATATTGGCCAATTCTAAGGTGAACCTTTGAATTTATCTTTTACAACATTTAGGGAATTTTGTTGATTTCTTGAATTACAATGTGAAGTTAGTTCTTATATAACTAAACCATAACTCTGATTCCCTTTTAAAACAATTTATCTTTCTTCTGTATTTTCCTTCAGGTGTGAAGTGGGTTATACTGGTGTCCGATGTGAACACTTCTTTTTAACTGTTCACCAACCCTTGAGTAAAGAATATGTGGCCTTGACTGTGATTCTTATTATCTTGTTTCTTATCATAGTTGCTGGCTCCACATACTATTTCTGCAGATGGTAAGCCAGTGGGTTTTTTTTTAATGTGTTGCTTTTGTAAATTACATTTATACAATACAGATCTATAACTGAGTAAAAATATGAATAGTGGTTTCTTTTGCCCATGCCAGCTCTGGCATGTCTCCCTTTCTTTTCTCCCTTCTTTCTCTAATAAACTTTGCTTAAAATCTTCAAAAAATATGTAAAGAAAGCACTAGATAAGACAGAATTTGCACTGATGACATTTACAAATATGTTTTAGTTGCAGAACATCTGGGTTTAACTTTATTATTGGCTCGGTTATATACTACCTATGTGACCTTATACAGGTCAAACTGGGAGTATCCATTCCTTTCTCTATAAAATATAGACAGAAATTACTTATCCTACATTAGTTATAAGGCTGTTTTTAGTATTGAATATGATAATACATGTGAAAGTAAACATAAGAAATGATGCTGCCTTTATTGTGAGCCATCTGTATTTTATTTATTAGGCCAAATTTTGTATTTCTAAAACACAAAGCCTCGGAGGTAGATTAATAACCTCAGAGGCTAGGGAATCTTAGCATATAAGGCAAACTTGTAGAAAGTAGTTTCCAGAAAATTATAAAAGATAACTGTTAAAATAAATGGCTTGTGTCAGTCTTCCCAAACAGTCATTCTCAAGCACAATATTTTCATAGGCAGAAAACGGAAAACATCGAAAATTAGTATTGAAATGATAGTTAGGCAGTTTTTAGGGTTGGGAACTGTATGAATTAGTTTATAATAGTTGCCTTTAAAATGTTTCTGCGAAATCCTTATTTTGAAACAATGTAGATTTGAGTGAATGTTTTTATTTTTTCCCTGAAAGTAGTGTATTTCTAGTTTTGAAGGTCTGTAATTGTGCTTTGTTTGTAAGATTAGACTTCTTTGTCCATGTTTAATTCTAAGTATCTACCAAATAATAATGCCTTCCTAGTTAGTTGTAATCACAGAACTGAATATTATTAAAACTGAAATATGCCTGAAAGATCTTTGGCCACATTTCTTTTTTATAGATTGGGAAACTGAGACCTTGAGAGGTAAATTCACATGTCCTAGTTCATATAGTTGACAAGTTGCACAACTGAGTTAAGAACAAAGGCTTTCTAATTCATACTATTTTGGTAAGCTTAGACATGATGTAATTTCCTCAAGGCTGCAATCTCCAAAACTGGTAGGAAATAAACTAAAAAGATTTTTAGAGTAGCTTCATGAATAAATAAAAATTCTGAATTGTGATAAATCTATGAATCCTGACTGTGAGATCTCAGTCAGTTTATGTAACTTGTTTGCACTTTACTTTCTTCATCTGTAGGATGAGGATAATAATGGTAAATGTGAAAGTAAAATAAATAATGCATGTAGGCACTTAGAACATTGTAGATCACCAAATTAGTGCCTAATAAATATTAATTATTTTTATTTTGATTGGTGATAGCATAATATCCATGTGATGGGCAGAATGTGTACTGTAGTATATTTGAAACACTAGTCCTTAGTAGTAAAAAGAGAAAAAGAAAGAAAAAAAAAAAAAAAAAAAAAGAAAGAAAGAAAGAAAAGGAAAAGGAAAGAGAACAGTGAGAAAAAAAAATCCAGGCTTAAATGTGGCCACATGTCTTCTTGAATTTTCACAATATTCATGACTATGTTAGAAGACTTTGAGAAGTTCTTTAAGTTTGTTTCACTATTTTCTTCCAAAATTGTTTGACTATGGGACACAACCTCTTTGTTCCTCTTTTTATGACCTTGTCCTACCTAAACCAGTTTGGAAATGTTATGCTAATGTGCCTTTGGAGTCCACATATTTGTTTCTTTTGTTAATATGCTTTGTTCCTATCATCATTAACTGCAGTGCTAACAGTTTCATTTTTGAATATTTTTAGGTACAGAAATCGAAAAAGTAAAGAACCAAAGAAGGACTATGAGAAAGTAACCTCAGAGCATCCAGCGTTACTACAAGTCTGAATGGTGCCATCAAACTTGTGGACAGGGAAACACAGCATGCCTAATGTTAATATTTCTATTTTGTTAATAATATTTATGTTGGGTCTTATGTTGCATCTACAAGTGTATTTTAACATACTTGAAGCATGTTTTTATTTTTATTTTATTATTGACAGACTATTTGCTAATAAATAATGTTCAGAAAATATTTAATAGCAAGAGAAAATTGATATTTTTGAAAGTAATAATTTTCTGAGTTAAATGCTTTATTGAAAGCTTCAAAGTTTATATGTCTGCTGCACCATACTTAGACGTGAGCAATGTCCGGGTGGTTGCTCAGGAAATGTTGTCAAATGACAGATTTCTGGAAACCTAAACATACAGTCAAATCAATTTAATAGATAAATCTGCTTCTACTTCTCAATCAATGGTAACTGGTTTGACCATATCATGGTTTGGTATATTATTTGGCCCACTGTGCCATTTATCAAAACAGTAATGCAGTTGGAATTTGGGGAAAACAAATACAGGTCCAGTGCTCAATACTACATATTTGAAACAAAGTCAAGTCTGGGAAGGATGTGGTCCCTTCAACCCCATCTCAGCTGTAACTCTATGTTTATCATGTGGAGGGCCAGTGAACATTCCCTATGCCAACCAACAACTCCTACAGATACTCGTCTCAGATTCTCCTTACATAAAATGAATGGAAAAACAATGTTCCTTTTTGTATAGTACAATATTTATGTGGCATAGCTGTTACTCATCAGACACTAGAAAATGACCTACACTTGATGTCATAATGTGTGCTTCTTGTTAGAATGTTTTTGTAGGGGCTTTGCTGAAGAATTCCAAGTTTAAATCATAGTCCAAAATTTGATGGACTCATTACTATTTTAAAATATATTAAGATAATAGTTCTCTGTGTTGTCTAAAGATAGAAATACAATTATTTCATCTTCTATTCAAGCAAGTTTTAACTTAAAAACAGCTTAGTAAGTAAGTAGCTGCTTCTGGAATTTGAAGTCACATACTTAAAATAGCATCATGACACAGGAAGTAAACAACATAGGAAATATAAATCATAGTATATTTTTCCAAATGAAAAACTCTTGAAAGTTTTCAAAATATAAAGGCCTCATCGCATCTTTCTACAGAGTCTGAGATGAAACTAAGACCGTTTTTTTCTGATATGTGTTTATTTTTTGGAAGAGACAAAGGTTTCTTCTGCACTCTGAGCCCATATCTCCCAGTGAAATAATCAGAGCATTTTGGGCCATTGCACAAGGACAATTGCTGTCATCACCTCTGGATTTCATGGGAGGCTGCTTCGTTGAATGCTGAACCTTTGGGTAGAGTCTCCCTGGATCACATACCAGGTCAGGGAGGATCTGTTCTTCCTCCACTTTTTTTCCTGGCATGTGCTAGGGCAACAAAGAAATAATAAGCCATGGCTGACCTCTGGAGTACCAAGTGCCAGGACTTGCCTCCACATGTATCCATGTATTATATGCCCTGGTGAGATCACATGACTCTCTTCTAAAGTCCTGGCCCTTCCTATTAGGAGAATGAACAGACAAAACAAACATAGAATTATAGTCATGTGTTGCTCTATTTACCAATATATAAAACTGAAGAACAAGATATGAAACAAAATACATTAAAAATCAGTGGGATATAGAAGAATATTTTTGTCTCCCTTTTAGCACAACTGAAGTCAAGTGTGCTGTGTAAGAACACATTTTAAGTCCTATATATACAGTCAGCTCTCTGTATCTGCGAGTTTCACATTCATGGATTAAACTAGCCATGGATGAAAAGTATCTGAAAGAAACAATAAAATGATATAAATAAAAACCAATACAACATAACAGCTATTTACATAGCATTTGCATTAGGTATTATAAACAATGTAGTGATTATCTGAAGTAAACGGGAGGATGTGTATAGGTTGTATGCAAATACTTACCATTTTACATAAGAAACTTGAACAGCTACACCAGATTTTAGTATGCTCAAAGGGGGTGTTCTTGGAATCAGTCCCTTGAGAATACCAAGGTACAGCTGTATTTATTGACATCTACTGAATATAAAGGAAGTTTGCCTATTTCCAATGATCTTGGTTGATTCAAAGAAAATTTATTCACTCACCAAGAGCTCAACTGCAATCCTTTAATTTTATTTATAAAAGGTTTATTGTAAACATATCAATATTGGTCTAGTTGGTTTATCTTAAGCATCTCATATGTCATAACCAAATGAAAGTAGTTTTGGGTATTCTCAACCTTTATTTAAGAATGTTTAAAAAACTATCTTCTGAAAGAGTTAAATTTTTATTTATGAATTCATATTACATAATTAAAAAGTATGATCCCATTTGCTTTTTATGGGTACAAATAAGACAATAATTGTTTTCATGAGAATAATGCTAAGTAAACATAAAAATCGATTGCCATTAGCTCATGTTTCCCATAGACAATGGAAAGATATTTCTAGAAGGGGATATGCATATGCAGCATATTGAAAACCAGAGAAACCCCAAATGCATAACTTACTGTCTCCCACCAAGGCTACAAGAAAACTCAGTTAACACATGCTGAAACCAAGAGCTAAGACAAACTGCCACCAGGTATCAAATCAGCTTTTATGCAGCAAATGCAGGATTCTAGTGTCAGATTTCTGTTTACTCAATAATGTAGTTTTTAAAAACCTATATTTGACCCGCTTTTGTCATTTCATTGCTCTAATATCCATTCTGTATACTTTGGGAAAAATGTGTTTAATTTGCTGTCCAATATTTTCTGGCTTTTTTTTTTCTTTCTATTCTTATTCATGTGGTAGGAGGAGTAGCAACTTGTATAACCAGTGTTTCTGGAATAATTTTAATGGTTTGACTAAAGAATAATTTTATCTAAGACATATTTCTTATTCAAACTTGATGTTCAATGTAATGTAGTGTATTTTCCTTTTTGCTTTTTTTGCACTCTGTAATTGCACTTTTTAAGTTTGAAGAGCCATTTTGGTATAAAGTTTCTATTAAAGATGTTAGGGAACATAATGCTGTATTGCATGTAGTTTAAAGTAACTTATTTGACTATGAATTTTATCAGAGTACTGAATTGTATCAATTTGTCTGTGTTCAATATCAGCTTTGATAATTGTGTACCTTAAGATGTTGAAGGAGAATATAGATAATTTACAAGATATTGTTAATTTTTATTTATTTTTGTTGGGACCTGGAAAACAACACAATTGAAAAAATAAAAATGCATTGAACACCATGCATAAACATACTAAAATGACAATAGTCTCTTTCTTCTTTTTCCTTTTTGTCATTTCCCCCCCAATGCATTAAAGGATGTAAAAGCAGTCACAGGTCTACAGTGTGTGCATATATAGACACAATGGTGTTAACTTGGAAAACCACTCTATAAATGTATCACATTTTATGGCCTCCCTAGTGAAGAATTCCTAGAAACAGAAAGAGTCACTTCAATTTTACAATTCTAGGTGTTAGTTTTTATGTTTTTTAACAATATCTTATTCTGGGAATATACCTGGAAGAGCTCAAATTATTCTACAAAAAAGATACCTGTGCACCTTGTTTTATTGCAGCATTATTCACAATAGCAAAAACATGGAACCAACCATGCTGTCCATCGAAAGCAGACTGGATTTTAAAAATGTGTTACATATACATGATGGAATATTATGAAGCAGTAAAGAAGGAAAGATTATGAACTTTACAGCAACATGGATGGATTCAGAGTCTATAATACTCAGTGATCTATCACAGAAACAAAGAACTGAGTACCACATGTTCTCACTCATAAATGGACCTTGAACAATTATCATATTACTATAAGAAAGGGATTGACAGTAGTGGGTCACTTTGGGAGGGGGGTCACGACATCAACAAGGGTACCTGATCTCAAACCAGGTGAAGTGGAGACCAACGTGAGGCCCAAACTTTACCTGTACAATGACCAATTGTATACATAATCCAGAATCATATTCCACATCTTTCAAATAAATAAAATTAAAATATCTTAAAGAGCTTTTTAAGAAGGGTATTTCTAAAAAGAATAGATATCTTATTGAGAAGTAGCCTTTGAAAAGATGTATCAGTCAGAAAGGTACTCCATGATGCTCTCAGCATGTGCCAAGAGGCTTGGCTTCCCTGGGCTTTCAGAGCAGAAAGCCTTGGTTTCTCTGAACCTCCATCACAGCAATGGATGACTTCCTTGGTCCACTGCCTCATAGCCCACAGGGTGCTTGATCCATTCTTTAGCTCCTTGGATCCTTCATTAGCCTGTGGCAAGGGCAGAGAGCTATGGCTATGACCATTTGTCATGGAGGTTAGGTAACTTTGCATCACACTGGTGTCAATGGGTGGAGTTGTCACAAGAAATGAGGTCTTCTGACCCTCAACTCCCTTGAAGTTCTGGTCACGTCAGAGGCTGCGGAGCATAGTGAGAAGTTAATCTCAGATCTAGTTTAGAGTTTTCTTAGAGAAATAGAAATTCTTGGAAAACAAAATCCTCAGAACCTTACAGAACTGCCAGACTGACTCAGTCCAAAGCCTGATAACCCAGCGGGCAAAGGAAAAGAACTTTAGAAATACTTTTATTGTTTTTTTCCTTGGCTTCTAGGATACCACAGTCACCTGCTTTTCTACCTACTTATCTGCTTTTCTTGGTGGATTTTCCTCAATATCTCCCCATGTACTACCTTAGGTCTGTAAACTTTAGAGTGCCCCAGAGCTCAGTCTTAGAAGTTTTCCCACCGTGTAGTCACTCCCTGATTCATTCCACACAGTCTAATGTCTTCAATTACCATCTTTATAATGATTACTCCCAACCTAGACATTGTTCATGAGTTCCAGACATCTGTATCCAACTACCCACCTAACACCTCCACTTGAGTAGTTACTAGACTTCACAAGTTACGTGTTCAAGAAATAATATTACCCTAAAATATGTTCCTTCTGTAATGCTCCTATCTCAGCTAAATGCAATTTC